TGCTCGCAATATCTTTTCATTCGCACATATTATTGCTGATTCCGACGATTTTTGTTTCGGAATAGTTACAAAATCTTAGAAAAACCGGTTTCTCTGACTTGCTTTTTGCCATCTCATATCTGGCATACTCCGAATACCTTCGGATCGACTAGTCTACAAAAGCGGATCATCCTCTTCCGTTTAACCATCAATTTTGTTTTAATGTTTCGCATCGGAGATATTTCAACGTAAAATAATTTTACTCCTTCAAGAGCTTTGATGAAACGATACCACGCTGATCTCGTTTCACGTTAGAGCTGTTTCAAAGAAGCATCAGATTCCTTCGAGAAATGCATTTTGATATGATGACGTGGCATCAATCTGATTTTAGTCCCCCGCGTTGCAGCGGATGTTTCAATTAAAAACAGAAAATAGTCATCGTTAAAAAGAATAGTATTTATTCTTCCGAGCTTTTAACAGACAGTGGGTATAAACGGATGATAATTACACTGAACACGCTTGCGAATCGTGCTCATTACTCTCGTCGTTCATTTTTATGATATTGTCGCATAAATTATATAAACGGTACATTAAACATCTCAGATTCATGAATAACGCTGAAAATGTGCTGCAAGTTTCTTTCCTGTTACGAGCGATAGCTATTTTAGTTTCCCACCGTCACAATACGTCTGCGGTAATCATTTGCAGTAACTCATATAATTGTTAATCCGAGAAGATCGCACTTGAAAAGGGTGTAATTACGTGAGATCCGTCCGAGAGGAAGGCGCTTATGCCCTGCTGCACTGTGTACTCGATTGCTAAAAAATTTTGAATGGCAAGGCGGTATGATTGACCAATTGGTATTGTGTCATCAGCAATTTGCGTGTCATTCACCTTCGTATATAAAAGAAAACCGATGTTTATTCATTAGGTTTTACACCGCGTGCTCGGTCATATACACGAAAATAATATCTAATTTAAATTTTAATGATGACCTGATCAATTTAGAGGTCATTTTTTTTAAATTAAAACATTGAAATGCGGTAAACTATAATAAGCGATCAGAAATAAAATATTTGTTGCGGACTCTGATTTCAGGATGCCAAGTTTGAAGCGATATATAATATTTAGTATTTTTAAAATTATTTTATAAAATATTATTTAATAATACAATTATTTAATAATGTATCGATAAATGTAAACATTTAAATACTAAATTAAAGGGCTCTCAAAATTCAAACAATGAAATAATTAAATAGGGTCAATAAGAGTAATAATTCGATGCGGTAATTAATACACTTTTTAATAACATTTTCGTATAATTATATCAAATATAATATACATTGTCGTGACAAACTCTGGCAATTTGTATATTTAATGTAATTACACTAATATACATATATTTTATTAATAGCATACTAATTACCGCACAGAATTATTGCTCTTAATTATTGCTCCCCTTTAATTACTTTATTCAATATATAATATATATGTATATAAATTTAATGAATGAAATTAAAACAGAGAAAAGACTAAATTTAGCAAGATAAATTTTATTGTTATTTACATTTGCGGAGAGTTTATTTCTATATTTTAATTCAAGATTTAAAAATAAACAATTTAAAAATAAACGATATGACATTTAACGAATATATTAAAATGTCATGCTTTTATAAAAGCAATAAAATTCGTCAACGTCGATATCTGTATTGGATTTTTTGTTGCATGTGTATACGTATTCCTTATATAATTTCATATAATTTTTATGATACCATTAATTTTAAATTTATTCGTTTATCAAGTTACACGATGTTTGGATGGTTATTATCAATTATCGCGTTAGTTATGTAAGACGCTGCGCATGTTCTGGTACTACGGTTTGCCACTGTGAGAAGAATGTAAAAAAGTCTTTATCTAGGAAATCCTCACGATGTCGCTTTTTTTTGCGATAAATACAGTCGCGTGCTGAGTCAAGCCTTTACCTACTAGTTGTACTATAATGTGAACGTAACGAAAACGTGATGCAAATAAAAAATATGAATGATAATTTCTATAAATCTATAAATAGATCTATAAATCATTTTCAAAATTACCGATAAATTCGTCAACGGCGCTCGCATTATTCGATAGCGACAATATTAATAACTTATTTTAAATATTACATATTAAAACTTGCTTCTTGCTGATACTGCGAGAATTTAATTTTTTTTATAGTAATTAAGATTTTTTCATGTTTAGTAATAAAATTGAATCTTTTTTACTTTTATTTTTTTTTGTGCAGATTTAATGAAATTTTTTTTTAAATGAGAGAGAAAAAGTATGTTAAACTAAATGGCACACTATTTTCAGGTCCTACATGACTGCGCGAAAGCACGGCGAGAAGTTGAGCTTCATTGGAGAGCATCAAATTGCAGGCATATAGTTCAAGTTAAGGATGTGTATGAAAATTCTTATAGCGGCAATAAATGTCTGCTGGTAATCATGGAATGGTACGTACAAGAAACGTTATATTTTTTTAATGTAACGTGGCGTCATTTATTGCGAGCATGATTCTTCAGATTTATATTTAACTCTTCTTTTTTTGTTTCAGTATGGAAGGCGGAGAGCTGTTTCAAAGGATACAAGATAGACAAGACGGTGCTTTTACCGAAAGAGGTATATCTTCAACGTTTTTGCAGTCTACTAAATTTTTCTATTTTTAACTAACATAAACTTTATTGTATTTCTTTGCAGAGGCTGCGCAAGTGATGTACGAGATCTGTGTCGCCGTGAAGCATCTACACGACATGAACATTACTCACAGAGATCTAAAGCCTGAGAATCTTTTATATTCCAAACCTGGTAAGAAAACGAGTTACATATGTCTCAAAATATCATTTATTTGTTTTTCTATAAGGCATAACAACTTGAAATTATTATCACTCCATAACATTTTACGTGTTAAAGAGTTAATCATGTATTATCGCAGACCTTGAAGTTATAGTTGTAGAGATTACGATAATTTTTATCTATATGTACATCGCAGTGCATATAACACGCGCGATCACAATATATAAATAAATTATATATTGTTATTGTTAGTTTTGCAATTTTGCATTTCTAGTAGCGTGCCACTAACATGCGAATAGAATAATAAGATTTATGTTTTTATTTATTTCTAGACATCACTGGAATTCTGAAACTCACCGATTTTGGATTTGCTAAAGAAACACATTTAAAAGACACATTACAGACACCATGTTACACACCTTATTATGTTGGTAAGCTTTTGCATTTCATTTATGTGAGTACATATGTATGTAGTTGAAACTAAAATTTTATTATATAATTCATTATTTTATTTTATTCTTAGCCCCGGAAGTTTTGGGACCAGAAAAATATGACAAGAGCTGTGATATTTGGTCATTGGGAGTAATTATGTACATATTGTAAGTATTCTACCACATGTATATATCTTCAAGTTATTTTATACTATTATAATAATTAATTTTTTACGTGATTAATATAGAGTATTTTAAAAAAAATCATTCATGGTTCTCGTTATTTTGTTAATAAATTATAATTAAAGCTTTATACATTAAAATATGTTCGTGATATTAATTATAATTATTTCTAGATTGTGCGGTTTTCCACCATTCTACAGTAATCATGGACTGGCAATTTCGCCAGGAATGAAAAAGAGGATTCGATTAGGACAATACGACTTTCCCAGTCCGGAATGGTCAAATGTAAGCCAAGAAGCCAAGAACCTTATTAAAGGTATGCTGTGTATAGATCCAGCGGAAAGATTGCAGATCGACGCTGTGATGCGTAACAACTGGATTGCTGTAAGAAAAAAAAAAATATATATATAGGATTAGCGTGAATTTTCTCCATAATATATATCTTTTCTAAAACTATGTGTTTCTTACAGAAATATATGGAAGTACCCGCCACTCCCTTACATACTGGACGTGTTCTGCGCGAGGGAGAGGAAATGTGGCCTGAAGTGCAAGAGGAGATGACGCGGTCGTTGGCGACAATGCGCGTTGACTATGACACGGCGTGTCTGAAGCAGCTCGATCACACGAATAATCCCCTGTTGAATAAACGGAGGCGCGCGAAACAGTCAGCCAACAACGCGACAGTCCCTGCAACGCCCGCCAGCCCCACGGCAGCCTCTTAGGAAGAAGACACTGTCAGAATCAGAAACTGGTTCTGGACGAAACTGGACATTTTTTCTGCGTCAGATACAGCGTGATCACAACGAAGATCGTTCTCTGACTGCTGCATTTCACGAAGCAAAAGAAATTCCGAATTAGAATAGTATTGAAGGGCACCTAGATCACATATGTATCACATGATTTACACTATTAGCGTTCGATTATTTAGATACGAGATCAATTTTATTAGAGCGGTAACAATAATGTAACGAGGACAATATTACCCCAACGAATGCAAGTAAGTGATATTTTTTTAATTGTTGAACGATATCACAGTTTTTCTCAAATGGCAAAATTTTAAAATATATACACTACATTAATTGAGTAATCACTTGTGTGGAATGGCCAACGTTTTTAATGCTAAGCATTAATGTTACACGTTTGTCAACAGTTCAATTTCCGTCGGACCTAATAATTGTCATTGTGAATATAATAATCTTTAGAGGCACTATATAAATAGGAGTAGGCGATCGAGGTAAACGATACTGCTGAACGTATCTTTTAACAAATTATAAGCATAATAGGTCATATTGGAATAATAATGATATTTAAAATCTACATTTAATAACGAAACTTAAGAGAAAATTGTTTTTTCTCAATAAAACACCTTATTGCTGTTATACTCGTCTAGAAGAAAAAATATAGTCATAAATTGTTATCTTGAAAAAAAAATCGAGAGATATATTAGACTTCCAAAAGTTGGCCATTAACTGAGTCGATTTTAGAGCTGATAAGTAATAACTGGCTTTTGCTATCTTATATTATTTATTTAAATACATGAAATAAAACTATTCCCAAACAAAACAAAGTCTAAAATTATGACATAAGACATCTTTAAGTCTTTTAGACCCAAAAAACATCTTATGATCTGATTTTAGACACTTTTTGTTGCTGGGTTATAATGTTGAATCAATAATCATTCTTATATATTCTGTACACATACATATATTTTAAAATAGGCGTCGACAAAAAAAATTGTTTGATTATTATACATATAATCTTCATGCAAATATAAATATAATGAAAGACTATTTATCTGTAGGCTATTAAGACTAACTGTAGGAATAGTTGTCTATATCTTATTTTTTAGAAAAATTATTTGTTGCCATTGAATGATCAGGTGTGCACTACATTTCTATTTATCATCGAATTTATAATGTATAATTATAATTTTTCACGTAATCGTTCGCTGCCCGTCCAGCTGTTTTTAAAGCCGGTTTTAAATATATGTATTAAATTTTCATAATTTTATTACCTTATTATTATCGATTCAATAAGATTTTTTTAAATCCTATTTTTACCACTATGTAATCAAATATGTAATTTAGATATTAGAAATTGGATTATTTGTGTTCTAAATACCTAATAATATGTTCGATATACGAAGGTCGTCTGAAAAGTTTTGAGCCTCAATATGAAGATATAATATTATTTACCAAAACCGTTTTGGTACTATTAATAAGTACAATCGTACATGCTTTGAAAGATACCTATGAAAATTATAGCCATTTTGAACTCAATTGGTGTTTGACAGTCATTTGTGTCAGTCAACGTCAGTGTTTTTGTAAAAATGGAAAACATCAAATATTGTGCCGTGATTAAATTCTTGAATTTAAAGGCAAGACGCCTACGCGAATTAAAGCCGAATTGGGCACTATTTACGAGGACTTTGCCTCATCATTTGCCACTGTGAAAAGATGGGTAACTGAATTTAAATGTGGTCGTACCACAGCTGATGAATGATGACGAGCGTTCGGAGAGGCTAACAACTGCGACTGCCATCGGTAAATGGTACTGAATGACTGTCGAATCAAAGTTAGAGAGATAGCAGAGACTGTGGGCATATTGAAAGGACGCGTTTGTCATATATTAACTGCAGAATTAAGCATGCTTAAGCTAACCGCGCGTTGGGTGCCGCGCTTGTTCACTGTGGACCAAAAACACATTCGAATGAACATTTCCAACTTCCAAGGCCCTGTTGGAGCGATTTAAGCGAAACAAGTCAGATTTCTTATATCGATTGATAACTGTTAGTGAAACTTGGATCCACTACTTCATTCTTGAGATGAAGGAACAGTCCAAACAGTGGACTGCGAACGGTGAATCTGCTCCGAAGAAGGTGAAAACGGTTTCATCGGCCGGGAAAGTGATGATTATTTTTTGAGATAGTCGTGGAATTGTGTTCATTGAACATTATCTTAAAAAAGGTAAAACAATAATGGGGATGTACTTTGCATTAATTGACAAGCTACAGGCAAAAATTGTGAAAAAACGGCCGCATTTGAAGAAGAAGAAAGTGATGTTCCATTAAGATGACGCACCTTTTCATACTTCGACGTTCGTCTTAGCAAAAATTTACCAATCGGGATTTGAATTGATTGGCCATCTACCGCGTTCACCAGATCTGACTCCCAATTTTTTTTCTATTTTCTAAGCTCAACGTTTGGCTCGAAGGACAAAGATTTTCATCAAACGAGCAGGTCATCGCATCCATAGAAGCCTATTTTGCAAAGCAAGACGCCAACTATTATTTGAATGGGTTAAAGGGGTGGGAGCATCGTTGAGAAAAGTGGATCGACTTAAAAGGAGACTATGTTGAAAAATAAAAATGAATTTTTGATCGAAAAAATACTTGTTATAGGCTCAAAATTTTTCAGAGCCCTCGTATATCTTTAATTATATTAATTCACATGTATTTGCGGTCTGTTTTTAAGATTTATAAGTAATTATAACGATATGCTTGAGGCCGACTATCTTCAAGGCTCATCAATGTTATTTTGACTTTAAGCAAAGCTTAAAACTTTCTCTGTCTCTGTCTCTCTTTCATTAAAACGATACAGAGAGAGTTTTAAGTCTCGCTTAAAGTCAAAATAACGTTGATGCAATCGGGCCTAAATGATTTGAATCTGCTTTTGATTTAAGTCACGAATGATATAAAGCATATTTTAGCCGGAATCGATCGAGTGTTACAAATATGATAAATATGATAAATATGGAATAGTATCCTAATATTACATCAATACAAAAAATAGTAGATGAATATATGGAAATTGTATATTTTTTCTTAATCATTCAAGACGATTCTGTCTATAATTGCGTAGAAATCATAGAAATGGAATATTAGTCTGTGTATTTTTAGTATTATAGATATAGCGCGATATTCTACAATACAATTAATGGCTGGTAAATCAAACGTAAAAAATGAGAAGAGTTCCATGTGCCTATAATTTCAATATTTCGAATAAAGATCATAAATTATTTCAAATATATTCTAGAATGTTCGAGAGAAGTATCATTAAAATATAAAATATTATTGCAAAAGGAATATATACAAATTATTTAATATACTATATTTTAAAAGACGGTCATTTTCAGAGCACATCTAAAATGATTAGTCTATAGACGTGAAAAATATATTCGTATAGAATTTATATAGAAAGAGAATTGTGTTCAGAAATTTCAGAGATTGAAATATACTGTGTATGGATGAGATATAGTTTTTAATTATATGAGCATACACACAGTTCCTCGCGTTGATCAATTAATTCACTTCAATAATGAATAATGGAATGGAAAATGTTTATGTGCTAGTTCAATACAAATATTACAATGAATTTAGTACAAGATATTTTTGTAACGCAGGGGTTTGTTGTGATCTGTATTTACAAAATTTGACAATAACTGTAAACAAAATCTCATCTTTCATGCCATTACTTCGTTATTTACGTAATTGCAGTTCTCTGCACGACAACGATAAAATCATGTATTTTTTAACATGTGACAGCGCTGTAAATTTCTATAGACCGTAAAGCGTTTACAGAAATATGTATGTCCAAGTGATGTTATAAAAATTACAGAAGCTATTTTATATCTATATTATTATATGTTTTATTAATTCCTTCTCTTGTTGAGAATTCATTTATGTTTAATTACACAAAATAATTTTATTACCTTGCATTTTATAACTTATTTAACATATCACTAATATACGAGGATTGTTCGATAAGTCAGATAAATTTTTGCGAGATGGCGCCATAATGAACTATGTATGGCCAGGAAGTAACACTATTCTGCACTATTCAAATTGTCTCATACCAAGTTTTAGCCAAAAATAAAGCTTAGTAACGTAAAAGTAACGTAAATTAAGCCCGGATCCTCATATGGGCAACAGTGCTCTAGCACCGAACGCTGATTAATGTATATATAAAACTTACAATAGGGGTAAATTTTATTCCCACAATCGACTTTTCACAAATCAGTGCTCTGTGTCAAAGCTGTTGTATAAGGATTCGGGCTTAATTTACGTGTGGCAAACGTTGGAAGTGAGCATGGCAGCATATGTCGTAAAAATGGAAAAAAATTCCGTGCATTGACTAAATATTTTTATTTAAAGAAGTAGACAACTGCGCAGATCACAGCCGAGTTTGATCTGTTTAGAGGGATTTTGCCCCATCATTTGCCACCGTGAAAAGATGAGTAGCTGAATGTAAACGTGGTCGTAACTTGGCTTGAATGATAATGAGGGACCAACAATTGCGACCACCACCGATAACATTCGAAAAAATTCACGAAATACT